TGGAGTGGGTCCTTGGAGTTTACATTCAGGTAAGTGTCCAAGGGACGCTGATGTTGCTGGTCTGGGGACCGCACTTCCAGGGAGTAAACCACGTAAGCAGAGTGTGAACTGCTTTTCTCGTGCGGTCCTACTGGTGATGTAATGTGGTTACAGTTACATGATGCGTGAAGTTAGCACATCAGTTCTGCCAGGAGGCAGCTGAGTGAATGAAGCAGATCAAGGCAGCCTCGGACAGTAGTTAACTTATCGTGGGTGCAGTATACGCCAGTCACGTGATCTCTGCAGGTTCGTCTACACCACACTGTGGCTGTGTGTTGGGTGGCATGGGCCCCGTTTTGCAGACGAGAACACTGAGGTGCAGACGTGTTAGTAGTTGCTCTAGCACACACAGCTGGGGAGGGGAAAAGCTGGGATCCACTCAGGCCTGCCTGATTCTGAAAGTTTTTACCCTCTCGCTGTATTGCCTCCGCAAGAATGAGAGAGTTACTGCGGGCATCCAGGGAAGCAAAGCGGCATTGTTGTGAAGTGAATTTCCAGGGGTCAGGCTAGTTGAGGCAGGTCGCATCTGTCACTGCTGACTGGGGAGCCCATCCTGGGGGTGTGAGTCCCATCCCGCCCCTCCCCGGCTCCTGCACTGCGGGGAAGACTGCCCGAGATGCTGAATGGCAGTGGGACAGAAGCTGCTTCTCTGTGCCAGACGTTGGGGGCAGTACCTCCGTGTCCATGGGCAGTTCTTGTCCAAACTGCACTGTCTTGGCAGCTTCTATAACCACGGCTTCGTCGCGATAGGCAGGGATCATGTTGTACTTGAAACTCAGCTCATCTATAGGCAAGTTGTACTTCCGAGCGTGGTTCTGAAGGGTGCCTGCAGACAGGAAAACCAGAAAGCTGCTGCCCCGACTTGCCTCATCCAGGCTGCTCTAGTGTTACAGCCCTGCCTCTCCATCCAGAAGACCCGCTGTCAACATCTTACTCTGAACAGATTGGGGGGGGGCGGTGGGGCCAGGGCATGTGTGAATTTTGGTCCTGCCTGGGAAGAGAGGGAAGGCCCAGTGGGAGGTGCACCTCTCTGCCAGTGAGGGGGCTTCAGAGCACAGGCTCCCCAACTTTAGCATCTTGCTTAGCTTGTCTTTCTTGTGTGGGCTGTTTATTAGGGACTCAGGATGAGATAGATGAAGGACTGACCTAATTAGCATCTGTTAGCCCAGGGGCCCTGGCCCCCTCTGGGGCTCCCTCGCCAGAATCCCTGAGGGCCACTGGAGGGGCATCAGCAGTCATTTTTAGAGGGAAGGAGGCTGCTCAGAGTTGGGGCCAGAGCAGGCGGAGAGCGGGTGGTGCCCTGGAGCTCGGGCCCCCTGGGGAGTCAGGGCACGCCGTGCGTGCTCACAGGGCTTGCCCTCAGAGCCTGGAGGGCGCTGGGGGAACCCTGGCTATTTCTGCCATGCTTCACCCTGGCAACCGAGGAAGAGCAGGGCCTGACAGGACTGCCCTGTAATCAGTGCCCCCATGGCTAAGCCATTAGCAGCCATGCCATTTTCCCAGGTCCTAGAAGCCCAGTGTCACAAATGCTGTCTTTCCTAGGGGCTTTCTCTCGGGAATGCGTTGGTACCTGTTAGAAATCCTTGAGGGAAGAAGAAACCGGAGATCCAGAAGGACTTAGGCTGACCTCTTTTGAGCCACAACTAAAGGAGAAACATTACACCATAATGTACTTTTTTTTTCTGAGCTAGAGTTTGTCATTTATATCAAAGGCATATTTTGGAGAGCCTCTCGGGAGGCAGAATCTCAACCAGCTCTGAGCTGGTCACCAGCCCCATTCTTACCCCCTGCCCTGTCCCCGCCTTCCTCAGCCACCAGGCTGACCATAAAGCAGAACCTGGTCATTACAGGGGTTAGAGCGCGGGAGCCAGCAGCAAGGTCACACCTGGCTGTCTGGACCCACGTCACGCTGGTTCTGTACCTCCCGGTGGGGTCCCATGAACTAGATCTGAAACTCCAAAGACGGCCCGGAATTAAAGTGGAATGTGGGGTGAGGGCCCAGGGCCAACTACACTGTAATCAGCATAAGACTTTCAAAGGGATGCTGTTCTGGAAGTTTCTGTCTCTTTGGGTTCAGACCATCCCTCCATGGTTGTATGTCAGTTGGCTAGGGCTTCCTGAGGATGCCCGGGCCACCCAGAACATCAGACCCCAAAGAAGTGACTTTTCTTACGTCCATAGACGCAGTCCTCAGAATGAGGTCTTTGACCCACGACCCGAGTGGCTTCAGGGAAGGGTAGGCTGTGCTGGACCACAGAGAGGGAACTTGGTTGTTGAGGAAACTGTTATACACCTTTTCCATTTCTTCAGACATCACCACAAACCCCGCGATGGCTTTGCTGAGCGTATCTAGAGACGTCTGAAAGGACAAAAGAGGACTGGTGTCCCTCACAGATGTGATTGCCGAGGGGGGGTGACACTTGTTCGGGGTGGCAGGTGTCGCCTTGGGCTGAGGGGCCTGCTTGCTGGCTTCCACCCTCTGCACGCCACCTGCTGGGCCAGACCCTCCAGTCTTTTCATGCTTTTTTTTTTTCCCAACACTTGACCACAACGGTGTAAGGCCTGGGAGGAGGGGTGGTTCAGGCAGTTAATAGCAGGACCCAGTGCAGTGGAAAGAAGAGAAGGTGGAAAAATGTCCTCCAAACATTTCAAGAAATGCCGCTGTGCAGCTCTCCTCCAGGCCGAAGGAAGAATGGGCTTGACGGTTAGCGATCTGGGGACCATGGAAGGGAGGGGTGAGGGCGTGGAGACTACCTCACACCGTCAGCCAGCTCTGCTCAGGATGTGCTGCGGCCCAGGAGTTACAGCGGGAAGGAGAGGTTCTTAGATGACACCAGTCCTTCAGCTGACACCAGAGAGCTTCCTCGTGCTGGAAACACTTTCTTAAGACACGCCCTTTATCCTCTCCTCATCTCAACAAAAGACAGAGGCTGGCAGTGGTCCTGGGAGATACTGGACCAGCAGCCATGGGAAGCACAGGGTGATGTTTGCCGCCCAGCTGACAGTGAAGGCAGGGCATAGAGATTTGCGTGGCTCTCTTGGGTTCCAGCTTTGTGAGAACTACTGCCAAACCATATTAGGACAATATTATAGGAAGATATCAGAGACCAAATTTATGTTGATTAAAAAAAAAGTCCCAGGTGCAGCCACTGTGGAAAACAGTATGGAGATTCCTCAAAAGACTAGGAACAGACTTACCATATGACCCAGGAATCCCACTCCTGGGCCTGTATCCAGTAAGAACCCTACTTCAGGATGACACCTGCAACCGAATGTTCACAGCAGCACTGTTTACAATAGCCAAGACATGGAAACAGCCTAAATGTCCATCAACAGATGACTGGATAGAGAAGATGTGGTATATTGATACAATGGAATACTATTCAGCCATAAAAACTGACAACATCATCTGCAGCAACATGGATGTCCCTGGAGAATGTCATTCTAAGTGAAGTAAGCCAGAAAGAGAAAGAAAAGTACCATATGAGATCGCTCCTATGTGGAATCCAAAATAAATAAATAAATAAATAAATACAGAACAGAAAGCAGACTCATAGACAGAATACAAACTTGTGGTTGCCAAGGAGGAGGGGAGTGGGAAGGGATAGACCAGGATTTCAAAATTTGTAAATACTGACAGGCATATACAGAATAGATAAATAAGATTATACTGTATAGCACAGGGAAATATATACAAGATCTTGTGGTGGCTCGCAGCAAAAAAAATGTGACAATGAACATATGTATGTTCATGTATAACTGAAAAATTGTGCTCTTCACTGGAATTTGGCACAGCATTGTAAAATGACTATAACTCAATAAACAAACGTAAAAAAAAAGTGCCAGGACCACGGGCAGATAGTTCTCGAGACAGGATGAAACAGGGCTAGTCACGCTTCCGTTCCTTTGTGGGTGCCGCCCACCTCTTTGCACAAGAGGCAGTGGTAGGAAAGAGTTTTAACTCGATATGCCCTTAGGAGCTGAGGGACCATTTGCAGCAGAGCTCAGGAAAGAGGCCCCCAGCTGGAGCCGGAGCAGCAGTCGACCTTAGATGCTGAAAAGCGGAGAAAGGCAGCAGAAGCCTTGTCTGAAATGCGTGGAGGACGCACGTCAGAGACGGAGAGACCAGGCCGCCAGGGCCTCCGAGGGCTGCTAAGTAAGCGCGCACAGAGGAGCGGCCACCACGCGCACGTCTCCAGCGGGAGCGGGAGCGCACTTAGGGAGCCGGGTGGCCGCGCCTCCCGCCGCCCGCCCTGCCTCCCAGCTCTGGACCCATCTGGAGGTGGGGGAGCTCAGCACGACGGCGGCCCTGCGG